TCATGGGGACAAGATCATTTTTATTTTTATTTTATTTTTACTTTACTATACTGAAAGGCTTAATTGGTAGCCTATGTTTACTTTATCTACTTTATCACTGTAACGGTTAAACAAGTCAAGTGCAAAATATAAATAAAAGTATATACACTAAATGATTCCTTATTTCCCTTTTGAATAACCCATTTTCAAGATTTGATCTGATCCAATCCGATCAGCGTACCTTTGAACAACTGGCCCAATGTTTCCATATGAAATTGAGCTACCATGCTAGCATGTTGTGAAGGGGGCAGTTTGTTATATAAATGTGTTCCTCTCACCCAGTGTATTTGAATAGACCTCTGCATACTGGGGTCCATAAACAGTGTTGGAATTACATCAATTGTGAATGACTGGAAAGCTGAGACATATACTTCATGCCACCGCTGCATAAGTCAGTGCCCAACTTGTGCCACCTTAGTCAAAAAAGTCTGGACACGGCCCTGTATGTAATGTTATCCATATGTTAAAGGTTTTGAAGCATAAATTTAACTCTCAGTCACAAATCTGCATATTTGGCTGAGGGAACCACTGTTTCTCTATCTGCTGTTTAAATGGTCTGGAAATACGCGGGAGTAGTGGGGCCGGGCTTGGCACCCTGCGAGTCCATGCTGAGGGCAGTAAATGCCCATCCCTCCCTCCACCTGCTGCTGCTCAGCCAGGTTAATGGATAAACTTTCTACCTGCTGAACCGACACTGAAACCACACAGCAGCCCGGAAGATACACACGACCAGAGAGGAGTACAGTAAGTGCGGCTCTCTGCGATGAAAACAACTTTATTTTAAGTTTCAGAAACATTTACCGCCGTTATCACCACCGGGACTCATGTTTTTGACACAGAAAGCCCACAAACCGACACCGAGCATCAAGCTAACCTAACACACCGGCTAAACTTCAGCCGTGACCGGGGACAGTTCGGGACTGGCACCAGGGGACATTGTAGCGGGTTAATACCTGGACATGGACCGATACAGGTACTTCATTTTCAACCAGAAGAGCGTGCTCGTCCTCGGTATCCTCCAGATAGCTTGTGCGGGGCTGTGTGTGGTGTGCGGGTTCATGGACGCTGTTTTCCGCAAGAATACCCCGCTGAGTACCACCAGGACGCCGGTGTGGGGAGGACTGGTGAGATATCGATCCTCTATCAGAAACTCTTTTCAGTTAATCCATGCGGGCTGGTGAAAGCAGCATCAACACGTACGGACTGGCCGTTCTGACCACCGATAGTGTCCGTGTGGTTCTTTAAGGCGAATAACATGTTAGACAAATTTGGCAGCATGTTGGCACTAAATTGGCTGAATATTGAATGGAGTTTGGTGTGAACCTAATGTAAGCGATACCGGGCCTTTGTTCCTGCCTGCTGCCTGCCGCTGTCATTTCATTCAGACCACTCTCTCCCCCTTTAGATCATGGCCTCTCCAGGTGTTCTGGCGCTGTTTGCCTCCCAAAGGAAGAACTCAGTACTGGTGAGTGTATCTCCACTCTTCATGTGTCTCTCTCTACTTTTTTCCCGAGGACTTTTCCCCCATTTTGCCTCTTTTTGGATTACCTTACTCAGTTCCCATGAGTAGTACAAAGGACACTATTCCTTGTTGAGATGAGGGATTGGAATTGAGAACCGGTTCCAATGTCTAATCCATCAGAATCGTACATGTTATCAGTCCAGGTCCTTTTATGGATGCTGTATTTTTCTGACAGTTGTGCATTTCAAAACAATGACATTATGGTTTCACAATTAATCTAAATATGATCCAAGTGGCTCAAGTGCAGTATGCAGACAGTACGAGCTGCAGTGTTTTAACTGTGTGACAAACAGCATTATGATGTAGTGCTGCAGAGATGTTCTCCAGACACAGACCCCAACAAACGTCACAACATTTCCACACTAATGGTGAACCATGTTGCAACGTGTCAAAATAATCACTTTGTGTTTTTAGTTTGGCAAAAATGACAATGTATGCGTGTGTAAGAGAGTGTATTTCTCTATTCCTGACTGTTACTAACTTTAATTCCTCAACATTTCATTCTGTATGTATGTAGTCCACTGGGACATTTCAGGGGTACTACACATTATAGAGATAAGCCATGTCTTCCCCTGCTAGAGTCCAAGTATTGCTGCTGTAGTAAACTGTGATAATGGAAAGCAAGTATCAAAGAAAAATGTTGGAACTTGTGTCTTCCAATCATTTATCACACTGACTAAGATCTTATGAGTCTGTTGCAGTTAAATTAGCTGATTAAACACACAATGTGCCGACCTCCGTCTGCTGACTATGGATAAGTACCTCATACAGCCCCACTACAATAAATCCAAACTAACCCTGTAAGGTAGGAGGAATGTGTCTATGCACACCACTGCTGAGATAAGGTACAACACTCACATATTTAGTGTTTTGTGTATTGTTGAAAAGATTCCTTTAAGAATATTACAGGAATTAGATGAAAATTCCACAAGGATAATCAGAAATAGTTATATAGAATAAACTCAGTGTTAAGTATCTGTCTGTCTGATTCTTTATACATTCCTTTTTCAGAGTCCTGATGAATTTTCTATGTGGGGGAAGTGTAGAAAGAGAGTAGAGAACGGCATGTTTAACTACTGTTTAATGTGGAACCGGTTCTCACCTGCGTGACCGCGGCGATACAGTTCTGATACTGCTGCTCGGTTGGGCAGCACTGCCACTCGTTCGTGGTGTTTCTACGCTGGAGTTTGACGTAATTTAGGGCTGCATGATATGGTAAAAACAACATTTTGACAGATGTTGCGATTGCAAAAAAAATGATGAAAAATGATTCATGATTAGTGTGGGAATTATTTTTGCATCACAAATTGAATTTTCACAAAAACAAAAAAGATGTAAAATTTTGGGGGCTCTGTTCTAAATAAACATGTTGTCTTAAAACAAGATTGGTAGACCAGGGCAGCTCTGCAGCTCTACAGTACTT